CCTTTTATTCTGCAGACACCCAAAATCAGACACATAAATCAATATAACTCTGTGCGGTCACTAAAGCAGAGATCCCAATGCCTAGTCCCTGACTTTGTTAGTTATGAGAATTAGCAATTTTTGTTTTCTTTCTTGCTCCACTCAAACGTTTCTTGTTTGTTTCTTAAGCCATGCACAGTCAATAATTCCCAATCAGGGGCATTTCCTCATCCCCCACAAGACAGTTGTCAATATCTGGAGACATTTTTTATGGTCAGGAACTAGTCTAACTGGTCAAGGGGATAGCAGAGAACTGGAATGTTACTGCCATCTAGTGAATAGAGGCCAGGGTGCACTTAAATATCCTTCAATGCAGACTCTTGACAACCAAGAATTATCCAGTCCAAAACGTCAATAGTGCCGAAGTTGAGAAACCCCGGAGCCATATAGTGTGCTCAATATCTGCACATTAAGCGGCTCTTTAGCTCTGCGAGTTGCTTATATTTACCCCACCCGGTGAAGAGAGAACAAGTATGAAAAAAGTGGCACTTGGAGAAGAGCATGAGAGCATTGTAAGGAGCAGAAAATCTTCCTGGGCTGGTCAGTGGTATCTGTTTGCTTAAGTATTTCTAATTCTTGAATGTTTTTCTCTGGATAACCAATATTTACAGGTTTTATAAATGTTTAAACTGTTTTGATCACAATCAAAATATATTCAGTGATAAATTGATACTAATATTTATATATCAATATTTTATTAATGCTGATATTTCTCTTACATCTTTTATTATTCATGTGTACTTTTTATATATTCCTATGTTGTAAAATAAACTGGATCTTCTCTCCTAGAGGATTTCCCACAGTTTCAGAGTTTAGAGTTAGATGCAGATTATCTGTCTACCCATCTATCTGTATCTACTCATCCATCCATGTATCTAGATTATCTACTAGCTATTTTTCCATCTACCTACTTATCTGTTTAATCTATACTATTTCTCCTTTTATCACATTATTAGCCACTAGGATCTTTGACTAGATTCATTAAATACTGAGCACTTGCAAAATAGTGGTACTCTAACTCTAACTCTTTTTCTATTTACTAGCTGGAATACTTTTATAAAGAGAATTTACCCCTCATCAACTACATTGATAGCTTGGGTTTAGGTCATATAGAAAAGACAGAACATATGCAGTCTGAGTATTGCTTGTCAATTTAATCCTTTCTTCAGCTACAAAGATAACTCATTACCAACAAGCCATTTCCACAAAGGAATCTTGTAATGTCCACATAATTCCTACATGATATTAAGCTGACACTAATTTTTCGTGACAAGGGCCGCCTCATATGACCAGAATTGGTGGTCCTGTTGGAAGAGGATCTATCCATTTGGTCAAAATTGATCCTGGTCCTGAGCAGGCTCCGTTAAGGTTAGGCTAATAGACTGTGCAGAAAAGGCTTAAAGCACCCCCGTGTGGCCTGTGTGGGTAAAAACAAGCCATGCTGTGTTTTCTTGTTGTTGCCCATGCAATAAAGCCACTGGGTGCCCTTATCCCTCCTTCCAAAAATGGCAGCTGTAGCTGGAGAGCTTGTAAGAGTGTTCGCTTTACCAGGCCTGATACACTTTTAAATGTTAGTTCGGATCTCCCATCCTAATAGTAATAAAAACAGAATTTATTCTTTGGAGGAGAACAATCAAAACCTTCAATAACATTATTTCTAAAAGATTTAGATATTTTATTTGTATGTGCTTCTATGGTAGCTTTTGCAAATGTCTTAGGTGATTTTCACTAAACTCTCTAGCATCTAAAAAAAAATCTGTTTTATAATAAGTGATTAATAAGTCTAAATGAAGAGAAAGTAATCATTAAAAATAAAAATAAAATGCAAAGAATCTATCTCTGAGAGCACACTCCATCCATAAATGAATGCAGCAGCAGAAAGAGCACAAGACTGGGAATTAGAAGGGAAAGGACCTCCAGACTCAGTCCTCACAGCTTCTCTACAGACAGATGTTTCAGTCTTCCTGATCCAGAAAGGATGTAACTCACCCTGGGACACACAGCAGAGCTGGCCTTCAAGCCGAGGCTTGCCTCACCTCAAGTGCATTCTTCTCCCAATACCAGACTGCCTAGGAAGGTTTTCCTCACAAGGCCTTGGGCAGGTCATGACCACCTTCACTCTCTATTTTTCTTCTTGCAAAATTAGAACACTGAGCTGCATGATCATTCTGTTCAAAAGCTAAACCTTTGTCATTTGTCTAATGTTTGTAGTGTCCAGAAAGCTGAAATGTGTTACTCTAAGCTTAAGAAAAGTTGGTTCAGTGGCCACTTTCACAGTTTTGCAACAAATGTCAAGCCAAAACTTGAACTTCCACACCTGCCAAAAGGCGAATATGGGAGTGGTTAGGAGGTGACCAGGCTGGCAGGCAGAAGCGATTAGGGGCAATCAGGAAGGCAGGCAGGCGAGCAGTTGGGAGCCAGCAGTCCTGGATTGTAAGAGGGAGTCCCGACGGAATATGACTGCTTCGTTGCTGAAATATTAAGGTGCTTTTAACAGAGTGCTGCCCCAGATTTCACTATAAGGTACATGACATGTGCTATAATGCCTTTTCCTAAAGTCTAAAATATTCTGAAATTTAAAATACATCTGACTGCAAAGATTAAGGTTATGGGATTGTGGCCCTATTCCAGAGAAGGAATAAGCATTTTAATACATAATTTCTTGTCAGCCATCGTCTGTTCTTGACTAATCCTGGGTCTTTCCACTCCTTTAGAAGGATCTGGGACCCCATCTATGGAAATATCCACCAGAAGTTGTGCCTTGAGGAGTCTCTGCAGCCCAACCAGTTCATACCTGGCAGTGATACTTGTTTTATCAGTCTTTTCTGCCGAGTCTCCAGAGGAAAGGTAGCCTACTAGAGCTTCCCCCACATTTTCCCAGAGCTGGTCAACTTTCCTCAGCAGAAAGCTCTTTCTACACAGCAAACAGAGCCACTCATATCCCCTTCCCTCTAGCCTTGTCCGACCCACAGAGCAATAGTGTCATGTGGGCCAAAGAGCGCCACGCTGAGTCAGTGGACCTGCTCAGTGCTGCCTCTCCATTCTTAGAGAAGGTATATATCCTGCAAGCTTCAATTTTCACCTCTGTAATAATGCTCCTTATCATCAGTACTCAGGACTGGTAAATAGGCACGCCCAGCTCCTGATCTGAGAATTATCCAGTGAAAACAATATGGATCTGCTCAAATGTGTCATCTGTTTTTTTAAAGGGTACAACACCCCCCAAGCAGCAGCAGCAGCAGCAGCAGCAGAAGCCAGGCTAAGAAAAGAAATAAATAGCCAGGGAAGGAAGCAGACTTTATCTTAAGAAAGGCTGTGGGAACTAATTGTACATATTTTAGCTGGCAAAGATCCAGGTTCTTATCAATTCATAGAAGGCAGGGATAGAAAACCACCTTTTTTCTGCTACTACATAAAAGCTCAGCCCTTCATCCTATCTGGCACATGACGCTCAAAAATGTGTATTGAATGAATCAATTAGTATGTCAATTCTGTCTTGAACACATCCAAGGCCATTTTAGTCCCATATTTTTCTTTCACACAAATTTTTATTATTTTCCTCGTATCTGATCCTGGCCACTGTTTCTTAAAAATTGCCATTGAGTCTCTAATGTCACTTTTCAGAGAACATCTGCCTCTCTAGTTTCATCTTTTATAAACTGTCCACATGAGCCTGAACTTTGAAAGGCCCCAATACTCACTTCTGTACCTTTCCAATCCCATTCATTCCTTTTAACACATTTTGTGAAATATCACACTACGAACCCACAAATGTCATTTCCTCACTTCCTGACTCCTTACTGCTCCCATAGTATTTTAAACGTAATTCTTTTAGAGATTCTAATACAATTATATTTCAGTTGTTCATTTCCATTTCAGACTAAGAATTCCTTACAGCAAAGAAGCTATTTTTAATATCAAATTATTATAATGTTCAGTACTTATAGTAGTTAAGTACTTAATAGTACTTTAATAGGTTCTCCAAAAAGCCTAAGTCCGATTTCCAACACTAGACAATTTTAGTTAAATATATGTGAGTTATTTAGTTAAATGCAATGTGAGTTAAATATACCTCTCTACCCTAAATTGGAACTCCAATCACAGCCATTTCCCCTGGGAAATATGTTCTGAGTAATAGAATCTCTCCAAAGAAAAACACCTCATACACTTAATTTTGCATTTCATTTCAGAATGTTCATGGACCACAATAATCCCCAACAAACATTACAGCTGAAAATTAAGTTTCCCTCCTCACAAAATAGGAATTGGTACAGCAGGAAGAAGTCAGGCTGTGAGGATACAAAATCATTAATATTGGCTCCTATACTTAGCTTAAGGCTCAATTTTCCCATCTTAAAAATGTAAACACTTATCTACTTTGCTGGTTTGTTTGCTTTGTTACAAAATAAAGCATCTAGCATAATATGGACATAAAAATATCTTTTTAATTACAACATGTCATTCAACAGGCATGGAGTTTCCCTGCCACTATTTCACAAAAATGAGATAATGCAGTTATTACTTGACACTTGAAAAATAAACAAGAAGAGTTCGCAATTCAAATATTTGCAACATGGGGACAGTTTGTACTTAAAAGTAAAATCTAATTTTTTTTTTTTTTAGTTAATCCTCACCCAAGGATATTTTGCCCATCGATTTTTAGAGTGGAAGAAACAGGGAGAGGCAGAAAAATCAATGTGAGACACATCAATTGATTGCCTCCACATGAGAATTGAGCCTGCAACCAAAGCACATGCCCTTCAGTCCATGGGCCACTGCTCTATTCACTAAGCCAAACCAGCTAGGGCTAACATCTGAATTCTTTTTAAATGTTTTATATAATTCTTTTTTCAATTTGTTCAAATTAACTATATTTTACCTGGGTTGTTGTCTTTCTTTGCAAAAATATGTGTATCAATAGACCCATGGGACTTGAGAGATCAATATTTATTTTAAAAAAGAAAAGCAGGAAAAACAAAGATTTCCTTTATTCCATATTAATGTATTCTTTGTAAACATACCCACAGATTGCATCTGACACATAGCAATCAGTAAGTTTCTTTTCTTTAATGGCTATAACTTTAGAACCTGAAATTAACTATACACTAGTATCTCCCAGCCTGAACCTACTATAAATTGATAAATCAATATAATAAAAAACAAGCTTCGGTTTTCTCCAGATGTTTAATTCAAGATGAAGTGTAGCCATATTTCATGAAACATGACTACCAGTAGGGAGATTTGTAGCCCTGCTGAATCAAACAAATAAAAGCACTGATATAGCTAAAAGCCTTGCATAGATGTTTTTCTGTTCTTAATCACTATAAATAAAGATGTCTCTTGTGCTTTCTCTACTTTAGGAAGTTATATACTTTATAGACGGGAAACAAATAACTCTACTGGTTTGAATTCTAAGTTATTCTTTTTACTAAAGACCTTTTGTTTTTCCAATTAAGATGGGAAGACCCCGTTGTTGGTATAAATAATTTGTGACAATATTTAAAGGATCTCACAATATTCAGTGTCAGTTCTGTAATCTCTTGGTAAGGGAGTGGCTAGAGGTTCTTTGCTCTCAGTAAGTGCTCTGGGCTGATGGATAAACACACTAAATTTAACACCCTGGTTGTTGGCAGCTCTGACAAAACCACTATTGGCAGTCATTGTGATGGCTTTTAGGGTGTCTCCTGTCCCAAAAATCGTTAATGAACGACTATTGATTTTTGAACTGGCCACTAGTCGCAAGGCACGTTCAGAAGGCTGGTCTGGCACCACAGTAATTCGCTTAATTAGCAGAGTGGCCCTCTCTCTCTCCCCAGGTCCTCCTAAGGCATCTAGAATAGACTGAAAATCCTTGACAGCAGATTCACAAGCAAACAGTTCCTTGTCCTTCATAAATGCCTCCAGCTGTGGTAGAACCTGCTCTTTCCTCTCTTGCTCTGCTTGTTCTGTTAGTACTTTTTCTTTAAAGATAAAGTGGCAACCTCCATAGCTGAGGGCAGACACATATGTGATCAAAGTAGTAATGTCCAGATTTACTCTTTTGCACACATCAACCTTAATCTCTGTTGGAAACGCAACACTTGCCAGTATATTTTCCCGGTCTACTCTGGTCACCTGGAAACGTTCAGAGCCCTCTTCATCTGATTCGCTCTCACTCAGTGGGAGATCTTCGGGGTGATTTAACAGAGAGTTAACCGCCACTATGTCACCTCTCACAGATATGCCCATTTCTTTCAGCTTCTCTGCCATGGGGCTGGAGACACCGTTGTAAAATGCAAAGATGATGTGAGGGTTGCTATACTGCACTGGCTGCTGGTGGCTGGCCTGAACGAAGTCTTCAGCTTGCTCAATGATGCTTTTGTCACCATACTGTCCCCGGCCCAGCCAAATATTATGCAAAGCTTCAGCCTTTCGGCCAATGGCTTTCACCCAAGTATGACCACCATTTGCAACAACGTCCACCACAAGGGTCTGCTTTTCTCCCAACGTATCTGTGTAACCAAACACATGAAGAACGCTAACAACTTCCTCCAGGTTTTCTGCGGATTCCACTATGGCTCTCAGGTGTGTTAAATTAGTGCTCTGTAAATGGGATTCCTTAATAGCTACTTTCCCAGCTTCTACTTTCTGTAAAAATTTCAATTCAGCCTTCAATTTGCTGCACAGCTTGGCACCACCTTCAACACCGCCTTTTCTTGATATAGAAAGTGATTCTGCTCTCTTGATCAGTTCCTTGGCTATGGCAATTCGTTCACAAAGCATGGAGTGCGCAGACATGCTGACAGCATTATCCCTTTCCTATGGAAAGAAAAGAAACAAGGCAAATTGAAAGTCTTCACAAATTATGGGGATTAATTCTTCACTGAGGATTATAAAACTTCAATCTAGCAACAAAGCTTATGGAGGCTGAGTCTAGGGACCTGAGCTTCTGCATGTCTGATTTTGGGGTGACTCCTTCTCTGACAGCTAAGGAAGGAATAAGAGCTATACTTCCGAACTCTTCCTTAGGTGTGCTGGATTCTTAAAAAGTTCACTTTCATTTCTCCAGCTTGAAGGTATGGCGTCCACAGCATGTCCCAGGTCAGGATTAAATGCAGGAGTTCAGCCATCTGCTATGTAAGACATTCCCTATCAGCAGCCTTACTCTGGTTGTAGATAAATTTTAATAAAAAGCTCAAAAGTCAAGGCAAACTGATTCAAGTAAAAATAGCCACACAAATATTGGCAAATTATGCAAAGCAAGACTCTCTCCCCTAAAACACCCACACTGAGGCTCTCTAACCTCTTCCTCCTCCGTGAGCGGGTCTTCTCTAATCAGGGATTACCCAGCGGGCACGCAGACACCGCCCAGGAACCAAGGAACCAAGGAACCAAGACCGCCTCGTTCCTGCATTTAACGCCAACCAGCAGACTTCCAAAGACCGGAGGAGCCCACTAACTTGGCTCCCTCCTCCATTCCAGACATCCACTCAACTCCATGGGGACGGGACACAGCCCGCGGCGACAGGGCACCTGCGCGGAGGTCGGGACGGTTCGGTGTCCAGCCGCCGCGGTGAGGCCTGCGGGCCGGCTTAGGTGCCAACGGCGCTGCGGCCGGGCCGGGCGTGGGGCGCGGGCGGGCGGGCGGAGGCCGCGCTGGCCACCCTCCCCGCCGGCCGCCGAGCTCAGCCCCCTCCGGGCCTCGAAAGGGAGCCCGGCCTCCTGCTCCCGCCCCTCCCGCTCCTCACCCGCAGCGCCTGGAACCCCGCGCAGCGGGCATGCGCGCGCGCCCGGCCGGGACCCCCGAGAACTTCAAGCGAGTCGGGCCGCCTGCGCTCCGCCCGCGTCCCGCCGCCTCCGCCGCCTCCCGCGTCGCGCCGCGCAGCCCGCGCCGGTGACGCAGCGCAGGGATTCCCAGGAGGCAGCGCGGCCTCCCGAGCGGGGCTGAGGTGGGCGCGGCCATGTTTGTTGATGGCGCCTGGCTTCGGAGAGGTGAAGGGGTACAGGCACAGCCACCGGAAGCCGGGAAAGGGCAGTGGCCAGCTCCCAGGGATCGGACCACACGCCAAGGCTTCGTCCCCGGGGCCCCAGGCAGGCTGACCTCGAACCCCAGCCTCTGATCGCTGGTTGGCCCTTGCCCGGGTGGGAGTGGGTGCATTTTAGTGAAGAAGCTCTCCCGGTTCTCTCACCCCGGTCAAGTACCCCATTGCTGTCATATTCAAACCCCTAACAGGTGCCAGGCAGTGGTTGTCTTAGAAGAAAACTTAGCAGAGGTTACACCTGTGGGAAGTGCTGGCGCTAGTAGGATTTCCACTGCACCGCCCGGGGCTCTCCATGGAAAGCGGAGTACAGAGATGAGTGCCCTCCTCAAGAGATCAAAAGATCAAGTAACTTCTGAGAGACAGGAAAATTCATATTAGTCTAGAAATAAGTAAATAGAAGAGTGCCCAAAGTCACTCAGAAAGGTTAGGGCTTTATTAAATAAGAATAATTTTGAAAGTTAAGTGGACTTCCAAGCTAAAAATGTTTTGTAGACCTTCTGTCAAATGTAAAAAAACATTCAAACCTGTGAAGAATTTTTGTGCGTTTATTAGGGCCAAACTGTCCACAATTGCGGGGGAGGGGGGGGTCCTCAATGCATTGAGATAATGCTCCAGAATGGCAGTTTTGCACCTTATTTTATGCATTACAATGAAAAGACCAGTGGGTTACATGAAATTCATTGGTGATTGATCAGGGAGACATGAGAAAGCAAATGGGGAGGGGAACCTCAGGGACTGGATGAAAAGTAAAATGATAGACACACATATAAATTTTACAGAGATGGATATGGGATAGTTGACAGCCAACAATTAACATGATAGTAACGGTCTCTGCCCCAGTGCAGGGGCACTGGATGTGCACTGAGGGGTCTGGAGAAAGGGGAGTCATCCTGACAATCCAAAGGAATGTTACCATAGATGCAAAAGACGACAGGCTTAGTTAAGGTAAAAACTGACTTTTGTCAGGGAAGATTCTAGCCTAATACATGATTACCTGCCATAAACTGCTTTTGGTTAAAGTTTTTAATTTCAAACCATTCTTAGGTTACTTTAGGTCTCTGGGTTTGACACCTCCAAAAAGGGCACACAGATGGACAACAGACACATTAAAACTTCATTAATCACCAGAGACGCAAATTAAAGCTACACTGAAGTATCACCTCACACCTACCAGAATGGTTTCCATCAATAAATCAACAAACACTGCTGGTGGGAATGCAGACTGGTGCAGACACTGTGGAAAACAGTATGAAGTTTCCTCTTAAAATTAAAATGGAACTGCCATTTAACCCAGAGATCCCACTTCTGGGAATATATCCTAAGTATCCCAAAACACCAATCAAAAAGAATATATGCATCCCTATGCTCATAACAGTGCTATTTACAACAGCCCAAGTGCCCATCAGTTCAGGAATGGATAAAAAACGTGTGGTACATTTACAAAAAGCCATAGTACATTCACATCATGGAATACTATGCCGCTGTAAAAAAAAAAGGGGGGGGGGGGATTGTTACCCTTTAAGACCACATGGATGGACCTAGAGATTATTATGCTAAGCAAAATAAGCCAGCCAGAGAAAGACAAGTATCACATGATCTCAAACATGTGTCATCTAATGACCATAATAAACTGATGAAGAAATAGGTCCAGAGACATGGCTATGTGGAACAGATTGACAGATCACAGGGGAGGTGGTTGCTGGGGACAAGAAGAGATTAACCAAAGAACATATGCATACATGCATAGCCCATGGACACAGACAATATTGTAGTGAAGGCCAGAACTGGGTGGAGTGGGTAAAGGCGGTTAAAATGTGGGATATCTGTAATAGTCAACAACAACAACAACAACAAAACAGTTAATCTACAGGCTGGAAATGACTAGAATTTGGGACATTTAGAGATGCATGGAATGGATTGCTAAACCAAAGAATCTGGACATAAAAAAGGATTTATTTTAAGGCAAATGAAAAGAACAAACTGAGAACAAGGGCGAAGTGTTCCAGGCAGCTCCAATGGAACTGGGCTTCATATTTAATGTGGCTGTAGGCAGAGATTAGACTCCTGACATAAATCCATTTCAGCTAATTTTTCCTCTTTATTCTGTAAACATCCAATAAGAAACTGCATGTGATTTCTTTTTGTCCGAAATATAAATGCCTTTATTTTTCCCTTCTTTGATTTGTAGAATTTTAGCATCCCTCTGTTTTTTTAATTTGATATTAGAGAGCAAATTGAAAGGCAGTACTTAGCCAAATCATTATCCTTGCCAGGCCTTTCACTTGCATTAAAATATACTTTCAGAAAACCCTCTGAGATAACTTGTGCCCTCACGTAGGCAGTAAATGGGAGGGGAGACCTGACTAAAAATCATTCCTTTTATAGTGTGTTGGATTCACAATATATCAAGAACCCATAAGATTAGATGAGGCCATCAAGACAAACATCTATAATAATAAAAGTGTAATATGCTAATTAGATTTGGCATCCTTCTGTAAGAATCTGGGGCTGTGGGGGAAGCCCAGGCCCTGGGTGCCAAAGGGAAGCTGGTGCCAGCAGCCGGGGAAAGGAAGGCCTACTCTTGCATGAATTTTGTGCATCGAGCTGCTGTCTTGAAATAAAAAGTTGGCATGTACCATAATAAGCTTCTGCCACTTAGAATGAGAAAGGGGTGTTGTAACTGGGAATCCTGACAAAAATTCTCGAAGACTCCCTAAAGTTGGCTAAATTTTAATCAAAACCTTTTTAGCTACATTTGATCATGAAATGCTAGTATCTGTTGGTAAAAATAACACTCATAAACCCTCCCTATGTTCTGTAAGCCAGACTAATTATGTGATTTCTCTTATCCTAAGATCTCTTAAAAAAGGCAAAGAAGTCCAAGTGGTGTGGTTCAGTGGTTGAGTGCCCACCCATGAATCAAAAGGTCACAAGTTCCATTCCCAGTCAGGGCACATACCCAGGCTGCAGGCTTAATCCCCAATGGGGCATGTGCAGAAGGCAGCCGATAGATGTTACTCTCTCATCAATGTTTCTCTCTGTCCCTCTCTTAAAAAAAAAAAAAAAAAAAAAAGTCAATAAAAAATATTTTTTAAAAATATCAAGCAGCCCAGCTGATGTGGCTCAGCGGTTCAGTATCAACCCATGAACCAGGCACAATTCAGTCCCATAACCCAGCTGTGGGCTCAACCCCCACAGGGCTGTGCAAGAGTCAGGGGAATCAATGATTCTCTCTCATCACTCTTTATATCTCTCTCGTCCCTCTCTCTAAAATCAATAAGAACATTTTTTAAAAAAGATAAAATTATACTATGCCTTTGCATATGATGAAAACAGAGTTCAGATACTCTGAATCACCTGCTTGATTGTCTGGACCTTAATTTGCAGTAAAGATTCTGAATACTCTGAGATTACATAAATGAGGGAGTCTTAAACCATAATTTTTACGCTTAAGTATTAGTATTTTATTTCCAGCTGTATGTTCACCCTTAAATTTAAAAAGTCTGTTCTAGGCTCTAAGGAGGTCTTTTACAATACACTTATCTACTTGTGATGGAGAAACCAACAAGAACCAGCACGTCATTGTTCACTTACATAATCTATATCCCACTCTTCTAAGCTCCAGTGCTATTTCACAGAACCACCTAGGGTTCCACTGACCAAACCTAGTGGTGCCTAAGAAACATCTGCACTTCCTACCTTGTCTCAGGAATACATGAACGTGGGTAGATTTTCTCAGCTCTAAAAACAGTGTTTACCCAAATCGGCATTTTGCTTTACTGAAGCATAGACAATATCTGGTAGTAAAGAAAGAGGATAAATTTGACTTAACCAAAATTGCATGAAGACTAAAGAATGACTTCACCATTCTGTTTTGCAACATAGTTTCCAGAAATCAACCGAGATAAAAAGCAAAAAATAACTATTTTAAAATTTTACGAACTCCTAAAAATCTGAAAGTTGGATTTAACAGTTTATTATGAGTTATAAGTATCATTTTAAAAACACTGATCCATTAAATCATGTAGAAATGAGTATGCAAAAAGTTTGCAAAACAAAACATACTTTAAACATGTTTAAGTATAGAGATTATATGCAATTCCAGATTTTCAGTCACTTCATTATGCTATGGCAGCCAAGTAATCCTTTACTTCAGTTGGAGTGAGCCTCCTAAATCCAGCTTCATTGCAGATTCCAACTTCTATGTTATCTTCTGTCATCTGCCCTTCAAAGCTTTCCTATTGATGAGGCAGGAAAAAAGGTCAATTTTCCAAACAGTTAATTATAAAATCATTATAAACCCAATTATTAGATATTGAACTAACCTTTAGGGTTAATATGGCTGTATGAATGGCATCTTCAAGTTCTAGATCTTCATTATATCTAAAGAGTTTTTCGAGAAAAAGAAAATAATGGCACTATTTATATTATAATAATTATTTAAACACAATGATAGCAGCAGCCTAAGACTTTTAAAATTTTAAACACTATTAAAAATACTAAGTTACAGCCGAAACCGGTTTGGCTCAATGGATAGAGCGTCGGCTTGGGGACTGAAAGGTCCCGGGTTCTATTCCGGTCAAGGGCATGTACCTTGGTTGCCGGCATATCCCCAGTAGGGGGTGTGCAAGAAGCAGCTGATCGATGACTCTCTCTCATTGATCTTTCTAACTATCTCTCTCCCTTCCTCTCTGTACAAAATCAATAAAATATATTTTTTTTAAAAAATACTAAGTTAAAAATTAATCCTCTTAGTCACCTCATTGAGATAGCTGTCCACAAATAAGAAACTGACAATAATTTAAGGTGCATTCCCAATATCATTAATATAATCCCAATATGAGTTTATTTTAGGAAATTTCTTTAA